TGCGGTCTCCTATTGGCTAAATCCAGGGAAAGGGGCGGGAAATAGTTTGCACGTGGCTGGCTGGTTTGGTTGTACTCCGGTCCTAGCGCCCAGCCAGGAGGTGCTCGCCCTGGAACCGGCGAGAGCCCGGAAGCACTCGGAAGTCACGTGCTGCTCAGGTCGCTGCAGTGATTGGTTTAGTTGAACGCGAACGGTGAGGCGGTGATTGCTGAGGTGTTTTTTTTTTCACCCCGGCCTGGTCTTTGTAGTCGTCTGGCCTTCAGTGCTGGAGTGTGTTGGTCAGTGGCTTGGTTGTAGGAATGAGAAACGCTCTGGGGACATTGTATCCCCAGTGCACCTGCCCTCTTCCGGTGCCGGCGGTGCGGGAGATGCTACTTTGCAGGCTTCTCGGTGTAGACCTTTTAAAGGCCAAGGGGCACAACTGAAAATATTGCAAGCATCGAAAAGTCTCGTTGCGGACCTTCATAGGGAGACAGGAGGACGAATATGGCAGAAGACTGGAAGGCTTCTCATCCAGTTATTCAGATGCATTCTGCGTTCGAAAATGTGTTTTAAGAGTCACTATTGGAATAGTTTTGTACGGCCTGCTTCCGACGGGGGAATGTGAGGTCCCTTCAAAAGCAAGCATCTGAAAGTAAAATCTTAGGCGTTTGATGGTGTGTCAGACTTGTGGATGGTAACTTTGTGATACTGTATTTTATTTTCCCCAAAGATTTGGAATTGATGGATGATATGGGGGGGGGTGTTAAAGCAAGATTGCATGCTTATACAATGAGCTCTCCTTTGTATATGAAGATAGTGCTGCTGACTCCTTTCTTGGCTACTTTTCCAAAAGGGAGAGGTGACTGAGTTGTTGGGTTAGCTCTCCTTAGTGACCCTGAGAGTTGGCTGGTCGGGGTTGGGAAACCACTCAGCCAGTTACAGGGACCGAGAAAAGTTAGGTAACCATCTGTGGTCCTGGTACAAGGAAGTATTCCAGAAGGCTAAAGCTATTCATGGAGAGTGTATGGTCTTTATTTCTTCCCTAGTGTGAAAGATGGAGCAGGGGACAGGGTATTTAGAAAAAAGCAAGAGAGAGACCCGTGGTTTTCTTCATTAAGTAAATATTTAAATTCTGTCTATGCCAGGCAGTGTTCTAGATGCCAGTAGAGGAGCAAACTAGGTAGACAGGATCTCTGTCTTTGTGGCATTTACATAAGTGGAGGTACAAGTCACAAGTAAATATACATCTAAATAAGTGTTATGAAGAAAATAAAACAGGCCAATGTGGGAAAGACCAGGAGAGTGGGAAAAGACTGCATCTGGGAGAAGGGGACGTTTGACCTGAGGGAGCTAACTGTGTAACATTCAGGACGAAAAGCATTCCAGAGAGAGGGAACAGTAAATACAAAGGTCCTGAGGCAGGGACAAGCTGACATGTTGGGAGGAGGAGTCACACCAGTGAATCATACAAGGAAAGTGGAAGGAAACAAAACTGGAGACAGGTGAAGCTGCCGTTAGGCTGTGGACAGAGCATGAATTTTCTGGTTGCAGTAGGAAGCCATTGAAGGGTCTAAAACATGTTTTCCATATTACCCAATAAGGACTCATAATTTGACAGGCAAAATATATTAAGATCATGAAACCCTTAAGAGTCCCAGGGAGACTGCTCCTCTTTGGGGCTACCCAGAGATCTTGAGCAGATGGAGACCTCTGCTTACAGTTACCAGTGATGTCCCAACACTTGGCAGATTCGTGGACTGTTTACCCAGGTGTTCTGTGCCATCCAGGGCTTGGAAACACTGTCCAGCTCCCTGACCTGGGCATCTCTGGTGAGGAAGAAGAGGACAGGCCTGTTCTCTTTGGGATCCTGTGATCATCTCATCAGGAACCCTGAGTGCCCACGTTAGGCGTCATCAGGATGGAGTTCTGAAGTCCATGTGGCTGCTTGCAGTGAACCAGGTGAAGTGTCTCTGTGAGAATCCACACTCTTACTTATTTGCTTGCTTATTTCTTTTGTTTTTGGTATTAGAGATTGAAGCCAGGGCCTCCTGCATGGTAGGTAAACACTGTCCCATTGAGCTACATTCCCACAGCTATCCAGGCTGTCCTCAGACTTAGAATTCTCCTGCCTCAGCCTCCTGAATAGCTGGTATTACAGGTGTGCATCCCACCGCACCTCACTCGGATTCACACCTTTGTTACCACTTTATTAAATGGGAGAGATAGGCGGAAGCTTTGGGTCTGACCCCTCTACCCACTCCCATGGGACTGCGGGGCGGCTGAAGCAGCTTGGTGGTTACCATGGCAGCACGACAGGCAGTGTGAATGTGGGGAGACTTGGCTCACGCATGTGTTGGCTTTCAGGTGTTAAGGAAAATGCAGAGACGCCACAGCAGCAACACGGACGCCATTCCACCCGAAAGGTAGGCACCCCTGCTTTCGCTCTTCCCTGAGGGCTCAAGACTCAGTGGTGAAAGGCACCCAAAACAGGATTGAGTAAAACCCTCTTCTCAGAACTAGTTGTTAGGAGTCACAGAGGAGGTTGGATTGGAAACCACTGTGCACGGTGTGTGTATCGGTCAGCTTTGTGTTCCTACAACAAAATACCCCAAGTGGCTAACTATAAACAATCGACCTGGCATACTTTTGGAGGCTGAGGGTCCAGTTGGCATAGGACAGGCACAGTGGCTGCCCCTTAGCCTTATCACCTCCTGAAACAGGTGGCGGTGCAGCTGTGGGAGCCCAGTGATTCTCTCCGGGAATAAGAGCTGAGACGGAGAGAGAGAGAAGGGCTAGGTTCCCACAGTCCCATCTAAGGACACACTCCTGTGGTCCTCAGGACCTCCCAGTGCCACCCCTCCAGGACCAAGCCTTTACATTGGCCTCTGGGGGAGCGGGGGATGGTCACTCATTGCATCTGAGCTGTAGAACACAACATCCTCCTCCTGAGTACTCAAAACGTAGTAGCTTGCTGTACTTTTATGGGTTTGATCTACTTGACTCGTGTATCAATAGTTATTTTAACTTATAAAGGACTTTAACTCCTGGGATTTTAACTTGTAAGGATGTTTTAGTCTGTTCAGGCTGCTATATGAAAAACTCAATAGTCTACATGGTTTAAATAACAAACATTTATTTCTCACAGTTCCAGAAGCAGGGAAGTCTAAGATCAAGGCATTGGCCTATCAGTGTTTAGTGAGAGCCAGCTTCCTGGTTGACAGGTGGCCATTCCTTTGCTCTGTCCACATGGTAGAAGGGGAAGGTATGGTTCAGTGGCCTTTTATTACAAGGGCACAGATCCCATTTCTGAGGGCCCCATCCTCAAGACCTAACCATCTGTAAAAGCCCTCATCTCCTAATACCATAACACTGGCAATTAGGATTTCAAAATATGAATCAGATAAAACAATATTCCATTCAGAACACTGAGGAGAAACACAGAAAGGCCAATGACACAATGACATTGATTACATTTCTTCAGAGGAAGGGCACAGCACACAACACAGGACCACAAAGGGAAAAACCAGTGTTGATTATGAGGGAGAATGGAGAGAGGAAAGAGTATTGGCCACAGTCTTTGCTGGAAGAACCATGTTGGAGAGGAAAACCGAGTAGAATATGCTAGTTTGAACAATGGCTTTGGAGCATAAAAGTGATCTCTAGATGTTTAACATGTAACTCTGGGTGATTTAGGACAGAGGAAATTGTCTTAGTCACTTTCCCATTGCAGGGACAGAAATGCCCAACACCCACAACCTAAAGGAAAAGAGGTTTATTTTTGCTCCATGGTCAGCTGGCTCCAAGACAGAGACAGCGTGAGGGAAGGGTCTAGCAGAGAAAAGCTGCTCACATCATGGCAGTGGAGGCAGAGCAGGAAAAGAGAAGCTGGAACGCAAGACAAACCCTTCCAGATCAAAACTCACTGTCAGGGGCCCAGGATTTAGCTCAGTGGTTCCACCGCCTGCTTTGCAAGCTCAAGGATCAGAGTTCTATCCCTTGTACCAAAAAAAAAAAAAAAAAAAAAAAACCCAAAACTTACTGGTAAGTCAACTATAGTTTCCCCTTGATGCAGTCACCATACAAACACATGAGGCTTTTGGGGGAACACCCCAGATCTAAATCATAACTTTCTACTTTTGACCCCCAAAACACTCAACTGCATCTTTTTACGCAAAATGCATTTGGTCCATCTCTGAGAGTTGCCAAAGTTTTAACAGTTCCAGCATTGCTGAAAAGTTCAAATACAAAGTCCCCTCTGAGACTGAAAGCAAACTGTTAGCTATGAGCAAATGTAAAAATCAAAAAAGTAAGTTAAACACTGCTAACATATAACACAGGGTAAACATTCCCGTTCCAAAAGGTAGAAATAGGAGGAAAGAAAGGAATTGGACCAAAGAAAGACCAAAACATAGTAGGAGAAGCATTACATCCTGTAGCTCCATGTCCAGCACCCAGAGGCAAGTTGTGGTGAGATAGGCGTTACAAAGGGTGTAGGTGACCGCACCCCTAAGGCATTGCTGGTTGCAGCGCTTATGGCCTCTCTCTTGGGATGGCCTTGCTCACTGCCTGCCACTTTCCTTAACAGACATTCCGTGTTCCTGGATTCTCTTTCTGTGGTCTCCACTGCACTTTCAGCTTCATTCTCACAGCTTTATGTACTGCCCTCTAAGGTGCGTACTGCCTGTGCCTCCCAGACCCTCTGAAATCTGGGTGAAACCCTCCTTCCCACAACTGAATTTTGCATGCCTGTAAAGACAGTATCAATTGGGCCAGGGATTTAGCTCAGTGGTTTGGTGGCCTGCCTTGCAAGCGCAAAGACCTGAGTTCAATCCCCGGTACCAGAAAAAAAAAAGACAGCATTAATTGGATGTTGCCAAGATCTGCTGCCAGCTTGAGTAGTAGCCAGAATCACTAATTGGATAGGCCACCTTGGATCATGGCTGCAGAGGCCTCTGAGTACCTGGATGGCTGAGCACTATCAACTGAATCCCGTGGAACTAGTTCCCTAGGTGGTCCTCATCGAGCAGGCTGTCCTCGGGCTCTCCTCTCAGAGCACAGCTATTGGAAAGAGTGTACCTTTGTCTTTTTACACTCTTGAGCCAGTGAAGTGTGGAGTCTTGCTGTTTCCTGAGGTGCCCTCAAAGTATCCTTCCTATTTCTTTGCTATAAAGTATTTGTTTTCTTTTAAACGATAGTTTTCTTATCACCAAGCTCTCCAAAGCCCCAAGTTTACAGAGGCTTTTTGGGGGGGTAAAACCCACGATTTTAAAATCATTCAGTTGTGCTGTTTGCTGTCAATTCTCAGTGTAGATCTCGCTAAAAGCATCCAGCAGTACCCATGCCACAGCCTGCATATGCAGCTCCCTTGAAATTTCATCCAGCAGATTAATTAGTCGGGCACCCAGTCTCTGTGTCTAACAATCTCCGATCATGGGCAAAATATAATAATACACATGATCTGTGACCCAACTGCTAGTGGAGTTCTTGATCTCACCTGAAACCTCCTGATTCTGTTCTTTATCATCTGAGTTTCTTTCAGCATTCCGGTCTTCTGAGCTCTGACTAGAAGCTCCCATCAAGCTTGGCTCAACATTCTAGAGCTTCTGTAGCGAGCACTTCCATACTTTTTCACACGCTTCCTGCAAACTGATTCCAAAGTGCTCTGAACCACATGATGAGATAGTCACAGGAACAGCCCCACTTCTTTGGTACCAAAATTTGTTTCAGTCACTTTATTGCTGGGACACAACACCTACAATTTAAAGGAGGAGAGGCTTATTTGCGCTCAACATTTTTAGAATAGTCAGTCGTAGTTGACTGGCTCCAAGGCAGAAAGAGCATGATGGAAGGGTCTGGCAGAGGAAAGCTGTGCGTGTCATGGTGACCAGAAAGCAGAGAGTAGAGGAAGGAGCCAGGGAGGAAGATACACCTTTCTGGGTCACACCCTGAGCAACCCACCTGTAACAAGGCACCTTCAATTACTGAAGTCATTAGCGGGTGAATCTACTGATGAGTTTCCTCGTAATCCAGTCACCTTCCAAAAGCTCCACCTCTGAGCTCACAAGGCTCTAGAGGGACATTCTCCGTCTAACCACAGCAGTGCTACTGCCTGCATGTGTGAGAGTTAGCTAAGAGGGGATGGGAGAAAGAACCCTGGATTGCAGGAGACAAATAAACAGCTTCGGTCACTTGTTGGGCCCTGTGATACGTGGATGTCAAGTAGATGAATATAATGCCTGAAGCAAACATAGTTAAGATCTATGTCTTTAAACCCAAGAGAGTACACCCTATGGGTGTCTGTTCTCAGATTGTGACAGTCCCCAGCTCTAGAAGCTCAGTGCCAGCACATGCATCCAAGGAGCAAGAAGCCAAGCCTTTTCTCCCTCATCCCTCATTCCAGGTTCCCTGCATCCTTACATCCCTACACCACCAGTCCAGACCCAGCTTTGGAACCAAGTTTGATATCAAGCCTGCCTGTTCTGCCATGGTCTGCAGGGAAGATCATGGTCTATAAATAAGCAAGAGGAGCCTTGATCAAAATCTCAACTTCCACTACTTCCTACTTGCCATGGTTTGGGTTTCTGTGTCTCCCAGAATGTGTGGAAATGTCATTCCAAAGTCACATATTGTTGACATTTGGAGGTAGAGCCTTTGGGAGGTAATGAGATTAGAAAGAATCTTCATGGTGAGACCCACCATGGTGGCTTTATAGGAGGAGGAAGAGAGACCCAAGCTGAGCACACTTGCTGGCTCTCACCATGGAATGCCCTCCTCCATGTTACGATGCAGCACAAGCCCTCACCAGATGCAGTGCCATGCCCTTGGACTTCCCAGCCTCCAGAACTGTGAGCCAAGTAAACTTCTATTCTTTATAAATTTCCCAGTCTCGGGTATTTTGTTGTAGCAACAGGAAACTGACTTAAGACACCACCTTTGGCAAGTGATTCCACCCCTAGGTCTCCATTGCTCCATCCATAGATGACAGATGATGAAACTCAGAGTTGGTGAAGAATGAAGGAATGGTTGTGCAAATGCACAGACACAGCATCTGGCTTGGACAGAATGTACCTATGGGAGTTTCCCAGCCTCTAAGGTCAGCTTCGCCGTCTGGGGCAGAAACTGCAGCTCAGACCTGATGGCCACCATGTCTGGAGGCTCTCTCTGTGTGGCCTGCATATGAGCCTGATGAGGCCAGGCTGCTGTTCACATTTTACAGATAAGTAAACTGATTCAGAGAGAGGAAGTCATTTACCCAAAGCCACACATCCATGAAGTAGCAGAGCTGAGATTTAGGCCTCAATCCATGTCCCCTCCAAGTTCTGTGCTTTGAGACATCAAATTTCAGCTGCCTCATGTCTGGGTGGATCCGCTTCTGCTCCTGGGCTGCCTCTGCTCTAGCCCTCTAGTTGCTAAATTGGAAGTG